ACGTCTTTTCAGACATAAGCACGTAAATTAATGGCACAATATTGGTATTGGTCAACGTGCTTCCTAGGTCTCCATGGAGAGTATAGAGTTGCAAAAATGCTGTTTTTTTACATACTTTAAAAGTTCCATCCCCGAAATAATGTGTTACTACATTCATTTGACGTTTTGCTTCATTAGAGCTAAATAATATTATTCTTATACCGTCGCAATTATAGTCCGCTAACAAAAAGGTATCAAATTGATTTGGTATTTGTATTTGAGCAACATTTTTGTTCATAAGCTTATCGATTCCTAAATTTTTATTTCTCAGTTTATATAGCCCAGATTTGACGTTGTTTAGTGGAGGTATATTGCAAATTAAATCTAACCCAGAATTTTCCATTTCCTCTACAAGATCGTTGTATATTGTAGGAACAGGTTCGCAATCCCTTTGCTTGACTTTTTCCTTACATTTTAACATTTTTTCCATCAGCACATTTGCGGCATAGTCCGGCACACATTCAGGTAAGTGTTCCACTTCTTTTATGATTTGATCTTCCTGCAAAGAGTAATGATAATAATGGTATAATACATAGTTTAGTCAAAGCCGCCGCTCGTGGAAATTGGAAGCGACACGTCATGATTCGACGGCGAATGCCCACCCACCAATATTGCTGCCACCATAACATCGCGAGCATGTTCACGAATTCACGATATTCTCTAAATAAGAATTTACCTAGCGCTATTCCTTTGCACTCAGTTATTAATTAACGTTAGAGTTAAGTATTAGTGATAATAACATATGTGGAAACAGAGTTATATCCGTGTCTCTCATATAGGTAATTATATTGCAAATAATAATATGTACTAATATCTGTAGTAAATAAATTCGTAATGCAAATATTGTATACAACTTACTTGCAAAGTTATAGATCCGTTGCATTTAATATTTCGTTTTCGGCTACATATCCACCAAACCATTCCGTTTTTATAGGTTTTTTTTTTGGTATACTGATGCCCAGTGTATATCATAACTTGTCCACGTGCTTTATTCATTATTGAAAATTCAGTCATTTTAACCGACTTCAATTTTATTTTTATCAACCTTTCACCTCAGCTGTAGTTTGGTAAAATAAATTTCAAATTGAACTTTTCCCGCCAAATTGTTTTTTTTTTTAACTATTTTTTACGGCTCTAGGTACAATAAATAACAGATACAAAAAAAATAGCACTAGCAAAAGAATAAAGCTGTACAGCCTTGTCACACAAAAATTATTACAAATACATACCTTGATATTATCTTGATCGGTCATGTTGTTGTTTTCGCCATTTTTTAAAACAAACATTGAAATGACAATTTAAAACTTCGGGAAACTGAAGCGTTGTGGTAGCAAGTTTTGTTTTATTTTCAAATTCGTGTTTAGCCGATTATTAATCATCATCACTACATAGTATAAATTAAAGTCGTATCGTATGTATGCATCTTAAAAAAAAAGAAGAACAAGACAACATCACAGATTAGAGAGTATTAGGAATACATTTTCCGTAATATTTAATTGAATTATAGGTACTCACTTAATGTACGGACAAACATTGTTTAGGTAAGTAACGCTTTAAAATATTTCATGCTGTAAAAAATCATCTATATTAAGAAAATGTTTGTACTTACAACAATTTCACATGACTATTCATAGGAGGTGTGATTTGTATGTAGGTGATCAAAGGACACTAAAATAATAATTTAACTGGAGTCCACTTTGATCACCCAGGGCATCGTAGCCGTGGGTGATCAAAGGACACTAAATTGTCGCTGAAAGTGGACTTTGATCACCTGGGTCATCAAAGCCAGGTGATCAAAGTGGAATAGACCTCCATCGATAACGACATTGAGCTTTGGTTGGGGTAAATTAATACACTCAGCGGCACGGAATTTGGCCCAAGCCTAAACACCCAGATATGAGGCCAAATAGGTGTTGTATACCTAAGTTTCGTGTGACATGTTAACAGAACATTTGTTTTTGTTATTTTAAGAGGCTAGATTCATAAAAAAATTCGTCTGTTTAACTTTTTTGACTCTAGAAACGCATTTCGTTGTTGGAGCGTAATGAATACGGGAAAGTTTAAATTCGATATTTAATGTTGTAAGGGTTTGGCGTTTTGTTTTTTGTTTTTAAATTAATGTTAGGGTTATTTTCGTTTCCATAATTTGAGAATAATGCCCATTACTCCATCTCAAGTTGCTCAAATAGTGTTGCTTAGAAGTCAAGGGCGTATGCAGCGGGAGATGGCTGAAACTGCCAATTCATGGCGTACAAACTTGAGATACATGTTAAAAAGGCATGACCAGACCGCCCTTTACACAAGAAGACCAAGAAGTGAGGAATTAAGGTGTATGTCAGCGCGCGATGACCCGATTATCGTGCTTGCAATATCAAGAAATAGGGTTCTCACTACGTTTGAGATTCGACTGCGTTTACAAACAGCAAGCGTAGTGAATGTCAGTGTGCACACAATAAGAAGAAGGATGGAGGATCATAACCTGCATACTTGAAGACCAGCTCGATGACCAGAACTTCCCCGATACCTTCGCGAAGTGCAACTTACGTTTTCTAGAGAACATGCAAATTGGACGCAAGGCTAATGGAGTAAACTCTTTATGAAAACTGTCTGTTTGCGTAGTAACTCTTCTCCGCACCTTTTCTATACACTTTTACGGCCGTCTGGAGCTCTTAAGGTGACTCTGCAATCATCGATCCATAGAACTTTACTCCATTAGCCTTGCGTCCAATTTGCATGTTCTCTAGAAAACGTAAGTTGCACTTCGCGAAGGTATCGGGGAAGTTCTGGTCATCGAGCTGGTCTTCAAGTATGCAGGTTATGATCCTCCATCCTTCTTCTTATTGTGTGCACACTGACATTCACTACGCTTGCTGTTTGTAAACGCAGTCGAATCTCAAACGTAGTGAGAACCCTATTTCTTGATATTGCAAGCACGATAATCGGGTCATCGCGCGCTGACATACACCTTAATTCCTCACTTCTTGGTCTTCTTGTGTAAAGGGCGGTCTGGTCATGCCTTTTTAACATGTATCTCAAGTTTGTACGCCATGAATTGGCAGTTTCAGCCATCTCCCGCTGCATACGCCCTTGACTTCTAAGCAACACTATTTGAGCAACTTGAGATGGAGTAATGGGCATTATTCTCAAATTATGGAAACGAAAATAACCCTAAGATTAATTTAAAAACAAAAAACAAAACGCCAAACCCTTACAACATTAAATATCGAATTTAAACTTTCCCGTATTCATTACGCTCCAACAACGAAATGCGTTTCTAGAGTCAAAAAAGTTAAACAGACGAATTTTTTTATGAATCTAGCCTCTTAAAATAACAAAAACAAATGTTCTGTTAACATGTCACACGAAACTTAGGTATACAACACCTATTTGGCCTCATATCTGGGTGTTTAGGCTTGGGCCAAATTTCGTGCCGCTGAGTGTATAAGGTTACTTCATTTAGTCCCAATAATTGATTCTGAGTTTTTCGTCCATACAAAATGGAACTGACTCCTTTATGCAAAAATCGTTAAAGAACATAATAATAACGTATAATAATAAAAAGGTTTTCATACAAGCATTTTTTAAACCAATTTCGAACCTTGCCTTGCTTGATTTAAAGTATCGATATCTTATCGACTCCATTTTATCTTTCTTCTCTCTAATTGCTTTTTTCAAAGTGTGCGTCACGTCACGCGGCCATTGATTGGCCATAAGGCACGCCTTCTGGCCAATCACATCACTTTTAAGCCGGTCGCACATGTTGTCGTAGACTCTCAGTCGCTTTGTTTTTACACAGTTGAATGTGTGTGTGGGAGCTGTGGTGGGGGAAATGTGGGGACACTGGTTCTCGTTGTAGTTACGCGCGACTTCATATCTATTCTCTTTCTATGATCTGAGGTGCTTAGGGACCATGCTGATAGTTCTTTATAGTTTTTAAAAGTTGGCCAAAGCGGGTTGGTTCCGTAAGTGACAGTGCTGTATCTCTGTTGTTAGTCGTTAAAAATGTACCATAATTTTTTTGAAGATAGAATGCGTTATTTGAGCGCCATCTATGTACTTAACTCAATTTCACTCAAAGTGTGGGTTGGTTCCTGTTTGCATAAATGGGTCCAAATTACCGTAATCGGCACAGATAAGGATAGATGCAGCATGTGTCAAAATTTGTATGAAGCCGAGCGTGCCACTTTTTAAACGTCATTAGTGTCATTTTAGCGAATTTTAGTGATTGCCGCAACGTAAAAGTAATCGTATCATCGTACTGCATTCGCAAAGTCATCGAATGATATCGTGTGACTCGATTCAAAAATTAATTAATTCCGATAAAACTGATATTTTGTTAAATTTATAGCCAGTCTGACTGTGGATTAAAATAATTATGTAGCGGTAGACGTTATTCTACAATTCTACATTATTAATTTGCAAATAATATTTTTGTTGTGCCTAATGTTTATGAAAGTAATGATCGTTATTCCATTATGTTAAATAGTACTACTAGTAATTCATACTTAATTCCATACTTTTAAATATCCTAGTAAGTAAATGACCTACTTTCATAAAATAAAGACTATTTTACTCAAGCTTTTTATTTTTAATAAATGTAAAAATGCGTAGTTTTGCCAATACGTTTTTTTTCCGTATACATAGACTAGTAATAGTGTATACTGCGATCACTGACCTAACTTCTTGATTTGTATATTTCGACGTTATACAGTGCACTCTGTCTTCCGCGATCACTGATCTAACTTGTTATTTGTTACTCGTTGCTGTTAATTACAATTTTCAATCCGTAAATAATTTCTTCTCTCTACCGTGTTCGTACTACTGTCCTCGTAAAATCATCGTATCCGATTGTTGTAATCGGATTACATGAACATCACTCGACCATGTATGTCCATTTGGACATATCGGAATGGCACGCTTTGACTAGCAACTTGCTGTATCTACTCTAATCCATATCTGTGGTAATCGGAGCTCAGGTCTACTGTCGAGTTGAGAGTATTCTCCTCCAGTTAGTGCGGCTGTATAGAATTCTTGTGATTGTGTGTTGAGAAAGAGACTCGTTTAGTAATTAATTTGTATTGAGACAGGACTCCATTCTTGTGATATTGAGACAGACTCGTTTAGTGTTTATTTTGTATTGAGGCAGGACTCTATGCATTATGTCGATGTCTAGAAAAAAGTGTTGTGTTCCTGGGTGTTCTTTCGATTCAGAAAGTAAGTATAGACCAAACTTTTCTTTATGATAATGCTCAAAACAACCAACCAACTTTAACTACTCATCCAAACCTCTCTATTCAATTGATTCTGATAAGCCCAATTATTATGACCAACACAGCGTATAACACTGATACTCAGTAATAGTTAGAATTAGTATTTAAGTGTTGACTTAAATTTGTATGCACATTTAGTACAAAAAGCTGTATTTCATTCTACTATGTCACAGTGATGTTTCGCTGTTTGTACTTATGTATATCTAACCTGTAAAGTCAACTTTTTTGGGATAATAACAAAACAAAAAAAAGTACAAGACCAATGACCATGACATGCTAATTCCATTCATTTAAGGTAATTGAGTTTTTGGCCACTGTAATAGAAGCATTCGCTTAGTGCTCAGACCGCTATTTAAAATTGTATTTGTCGAACTGATTAAACAAATAATAAAACTGAGCAGTTTAAATTCTGTCCTTCTACTTACTCAGAAAATGGCAAGTAATAACCAAATGGTGCATCCTGTTTCATCATGTGGTATTTACAATCATAAGGATGTGTCACTTCAGGCCGCACAGTATTGTTATGAAGGTTATTGATGATTTATTTTTTGTTTTTCAGGTTCACATCGCACGTTACACTTATTCCCAAATCCAGCAAAGGATAGAGATCGTTTCAATCAGTGGGTTTTCTCAATTGGTGGTGATATAATTGGCTTAGATAATGAAGACATATATAAACATCGCAGTGTCTGTCACTCGCACTTTGAACAAAAGTTTTGTTGCCGATTTAATCGGCTAAGTAAATTAGCAATGCCTACTCTTAATATGCCAGGTTAGTCTTTATCAAACATTTTGTTTATATTATTATCTTAGTTTAAATATAAGGATGGCACTTTGTGTGCAACACAATGGTGTGTCACCACTACTCACCACCATTTATTAGAAAGAAAAAGATTTTCAGAATAAAATTTATTGTTTTGTTTTATTTTCTTAAAACATCATTACGTTTTTATATTTATATCTACATTATGTAAATTTTTTATGTTTCAGGACACACCACTATTCCAAAATTTTCATTTGTTGAAAGAAGGCCTATGCGACAATTGCAAAATCTTCCAACAAATACAACTTCAGCCATATCTATGCCTGCCACCGTTACCTCACCCATACCATCTACTTCTGCATCTTTAGCAGGTATTTTAAAAGACAGTTTAAATTTTGATTCTACATACATTTTTTTTTCTAGTCTGAAAACAAGTTGTGCCCATTTTACTTATGAAAGACTAGTGCCTCACTGCGGTTACACTTGCGTGGTACCTGTTCCAGTGGAAACATTGGGTTAAAAGATTGCCTATGTTACTGGGGATGAATGTAGCTTTTAAACAGTGAAAGATTTTTTCTGTTTATAAATCTCCTCAATATTATTTATGGATTTGTAATTATATTAATTACAAAATGCAAGTTGTTTCTAGATAATGAATTAGATATTTGTTGTTCTTACAGTGTAGAATAATATTAACAAGCCATTAACTTGTAGGTCTTCAGATGCATTCACCAGAAACAGCAGTTGAAGTAATAACATCAGTGGATACTAATGAAATCAAGAATGTCTCTACATTGAAAGAAAATATAGGTAAAAATTTCATTTTCTATCATTATTATTGAACTATTGAAGTTAATTGGATGGTTACTATCTTACTATATTTTTTTAGATCCAGTAGTAACTCAACCAGCTGTGCCAGCCAGAAAAAATGCTGCGGAATTCAATAAAGGTATTTATAATTTTTATTACTTTGGAATTTCTATATTTATTTATTTCATATTAACCCTTTTATTCTTTTATTATAGAATTTCACAGAAAACACAGTTCAGTTGGTATCAAGAGGCATATAATAGCAACTCCTGAAGAGAAAAAATTGCATCAGAAGTTGTTAAAAATCAGGATAAAACTTAGCAAATGTCGCAACAAAATGAAGAAGCAAGCTGCCAGCCTACAAGCAGCTAAAAAAATCACATCAAACCCAGCACTTTTGTCTGCAATGGAAAAACTGCCTAGCACATCAAAGCTATTGACATTACTGCAGTTTAGAGAATCTAAAAAACTCAGAGAGCAGAAATAACAGGAGTAGCAGCGCGCGTTTATTTCCATACAAAAAAATTTCGCCATTTCCTGAGGGGGACGAGGTAATGACATTTGTGTAACAGCTGATGGCGCTGAGACACTATCGATATTTTTGTCGATGAGAATCATTGCTCTATGGTTCATAGTCTATGGCTCGTTTAAAAAAATGATATGAATTAATTTATTATCCTATGGGAGATTCAACATTTCAGATCTCTATTTAAAGGAAAATACGCAAAAGTTTGGCATTTCTTCCCTAGCACGAATACGAATTGTGAAAGTTAAGAGTTATATGAAAAAAACTAAAAAGTCATTTATATAGGCTCTTAAAAAGCACTTTTACACGTCCCAGTATTAACCCTACCACCATTACCCTACACTACCCATGAAATAGGTACCTAATATTCTTATATACCAAACATGACCCACGGCCACACTCCCTTGGCAAAGGGGATCGACTATCAGCCTTAGGCCCGGTTTCCACCAAAGCTAGTTACAACAGGATATTGCAAAATTCCCACGGGAACGGGAGTTAGCGGGAAAAAACATTTGTATGTAAAATCTAAACCGCTTAAGTTAGACGCTTGAAATTTGGCATGCAGGTACCTTAGTAAACTCAAAGCTTAGTTACAATAGGATATTGCAAAATTCCTACGGGAACGGGAGTTAACGGGAAAAAACATTTGTATGAAAAAATCTAAACCGCGTAAAATAGATGAAGGGGGTAAAACGGGATCCACGCGTACGAAGTCGCGGGCGGCCGCTAGTTAAGAAATACAATTAAAGTCAATAAAAGCTATTACTGCAAGAAGCACGTGGGGAATATTTAAAAAAAGGCCAGGAACCTAAAGAAAATGTATTTTTGATAAATGACCAAGAGGTGGTACCCTTGTATGACCCTCCACATTTATTAAAGTGCATACGGAACAATTTATTGACCAAGAATTTGGAATATTACGAAAATAATATCAAACATGTAGCAAAATGGGAGCACCTAATACTGCTCCTTAAAGAAAATCCTGGCTACAAAGGTGTAAGGTTGATCCCTAAATTAACTGAAAACCACGTCCTGCCAGAAAAGGTTTCCAAGAACAAAATGAAAGTGAAATTGGCAAGTCAAATTTTCAGCAGGACTGTTGCAACAAACATGGGTTACCTTGCAGGTAAATAATATACCATGGTTAAAATTTAATGTAGATTATTATACATTTTTTATATTATTCTTTCTAAATAATAGGTAGAAAAATGACATGATCAT